TATTTTGCAGTATTGAAATTCAATGTCATGACAATTATCAATTTACTGTCGCATGAAAAAATACCTCAAAAACAGTTTGTTAATAGACTGTTGTTTAACAATAAATTCGATGTGATTTCTAAATAATAAATGAGTTCCCTGTTTATAATATATTTCTATCGCACCATGACTGGGCCTCGATTAAAAATGTTCAATTTTATAACAAGTATTAATGCTTCAGGTTAAAAGAAATGAATCATGAAAAATCGCTAATATCCTGCAGTTTGCCCAAGCGATTTATAAATACAAGTAATATGTGTAGGTATATATATGTATGTATGTATTGATGAGATCACATTAATGCGTTTACTGGACACGTAAAAAGTGAAACATACACAATCATAAAATTGATAAGTAGCACTCATTCGATCATAAAAGACAAGGAGAAAAATGTAGCTTCTTTCTTTTCTAATATCTATGTCAATTAATCTCAACTATAGCGTTACGGTTGTTTCATAAAACAGTGATGGGCGGATCAGGTGACCGTACAGGAACTCGTGGGCACGAACGTGTTACGTGTGCTAGGATGTTAGAGATTTACAATTTTTACAAATTTACAAATCTAGCAATTTCCACATTTTTAAATACTCAAATTTGCAAATTACCAAACTTGTCAAATTTCAAATTTTTGAGAGCCAAAATTTACAAATTTACAAATTTCTAAATTTCCACGTCTAAAATTCGCTAATATGGAAATGTAGGACTTTAGTTATATGGCAGATTGTAAATTTAGAAATTTAGTAATTTGGGGAATTGCAAATTTAGATATTTGGTTATTCAAGAAATTGCAAGTTTAGATATTTGTTAATTTAGGAAATTGCAAATTTAGAAATTTAGGAATTTAAAAACTTGGAAATCTGAAAATTTGGTAATTTAGAAATTTAGCAATTCAAGAAATTAAAAATTTACAAATTCAATAATTTATAAAATTGCAAATTTACAAATCTAAAAATTTAACAATTTAAAAAATTGCAAACACAAAATTTGACTAACCAAAAATTCAAAAATTCTAAAATTTGAAATCCAAATACAGAAATATCCACCACTACAATACAAAAGCCCACAAGCCCGTGCCCTTTGCCCCTGGCCATTAGCCCATCACCGTCATAAACGAACAAATTGAATGAAAAACTTGACTAAATCATAAGCAACGAATAAAGACCGGCTATCGATTAAAATTCATTCATAACGAGAAGCTGATTACTATTCATCGAATGTTTCGGCAAAACCTTGTTCCAGCGTAATTCACAATAAGGAAAGAACTAAATGGGACGAGAAAATAATTAGAAAAAAGATATTAACAAATGCGTAGCTTGCGAGTTTATCAAGAGCTGCACTGATCGAGGGAACGTGAACGCAAAAAATCATTTTTATGCTACACGTTAAAATTTCCCTTTTCATATATATTTCATCATTTTTTTTTTTCTTGAAAACAATTTTTAAATATAATGTCTCGTTATTCGTCGAAGATATATGCAAAGCGGCTCTTGCTGCGTTTGCCTAATCGAGTATAAAAACGTATATCTATTACTCTGTATACAACTCAGAAAATGATTTGTACGCCAAACAGTAAATGTAAGCACTAACATGCAGTCGCACAGTACAGCGCCATTAAACTCGTGCCAACTATCGACATGAAAATTATTTCCAAGGCTTGCTCTGTCGTCGAACATTGATCGGGTTTCGACTAAGAAAAAAGAAACGGAGGAATCGAGATAAAAACGAAACAGGAGCATGCTGTAGAAAAGTACAAGGCTCCGGGAGGGAATTAGTCGAAAGTAATTGGGGCTATACATTGGCGTAACTGGGACTACTATTTGCACTTTTTATAGTAGTTTTGTTTTACTATTTATTTTTATGCTTTTATTAGTTTTAAGTTTCTACTGGCTTTAGGTTTTTACTAGTTTTGGGTTTCTACTATTTTGTAGTGGTATTTTTATGATGATGGTGGGATATGTTTGATGGGGTAGTTTGTGAGGATTTAGAAAATTGGGGGTTTTTGAATTTGAAGATTTAGAAATTGGGATAGGTGAAGATTTACGTAGTCGAAGATTTTTGGAGATTTTGAACATTGGAAAATTTAGGTTTGGGGTGAATTGGAAATTTGAGATTGTAGAAATTGGGGAATTATCGAAATGTGGGAATTTCCGAATTTGAGAAACTTGGAATTTGGGGATTTGGGAATTTGGTAGTAATTTGGGGATCTGAGAATTTGGTAATTTAGATATTTTGGGGTTAGCAAATTTGAGGATTTAAGAATTTGGAAATTAAGAAAATTGGGAATTAGCAAATTTGGGGATGTGAGAATTCGGTAATTTAGAAATTTGGGGATTTAACAGTTTGGTAAATTAAGAAAATTGGGAATTAGCCAATTTGGTGATTTGAAAATTTGGGGATTTGAGAATTCAGTAATTTAGAAATTTGGGATTTAGCAGATTTTGAGATTTGGGAATTTGGTAATTTAGAAATTGGGAAATTAGCAAATTTGGGATTTGAGAATTTAGAAATTTAGTAATTTTGAGAAATTTGGGAAATTTAGTAACTTTGAAAAATTTGCGAAATTTGAGAATTAGTGCATTTGAAAATTCTCTAATTTGAAAATTTGAAAACTGCAAAATTCAGGTCCTTAAAAAACCTCCAAACTTGAAGATATACAAATTAAAAAATTTCTCAAATCTGCAATTCTACAAATTCGAATTTTTGACTTATTGCAAAATTAAAAATTTTAAAAACACAAAATTACAAAGTCTAAAAATTGTAATTCACAAAGTGAGTCAAAGACTCAAGAATCTAAAAATTGAACACATCAACTCATAAAAAAACATCCACATTTCTCCCAAGAAATCTACACTTCCTCTGATTAAAGAATTTCAATTCGAAACCCAGTGAAACCCAATTCGAAACCCAGTGAAACTCAATTCGAAACCCAGTGAAATCTAATTCGAAACCCAGTGAAACCCAATTCGAAACCCAGTGAAATTGAATTCGAAACCCAGTGAAACCCAATTCAAAACCCAGTGAAATCCAATTCGAAACCCAGTGAAATTGAATTCGAAACCCAGTGAAACCCAATTCGAAACCCAGCGAAATCCAATTTGAAACCCAGTGAAACCCAATTCGAAACCCAGTGAAACCCAATCCGAAACCCAGTGAAATCCAATTCGAAATCCAGTGAAATCCAATTCGAAACTCAGTGAAACCCAATTCGAAAATCAGTGAAACCCAGATAAAACCCAATTCTAAACCCAGTGAAATCCAATTCGAAACCCAGTGAAACCGAATTCA